CTTCATCGCAGAGTCCCCCAAGCTCATAGGAAACACTCGGCAGAGAAACCGTTGATCCGAATGATAGAGGGACATCATCTGCTTGTATTGCCTGACATGGGCTTCGAGATCGGACCGCCCGTCATAAGTTTTGAACTACGACACGACAAACTTTCTTGAAACCTCCATCTCACTGATTTCCCTCGTAAAGGGTGTTTGTATGACTTCGTCTTTGGCCTCATCCTAGACAGCCTTACCCTTTCTCCTGGATTCCAACCGGGCTCTGAGATCAATTTCCTCCCTGACGGGATGCCTTCTGAAGTCCTTGAGTTCATCGGTAAGCCCCTCATTTCCTGGGCGTCGTGTGGATTGGGTTGAATCCTCCTCGAATACATCTCCCTTCCTCCGTCTAGACAAACCTCGCCGGAGGTCGTCCAGGGCCAATGGCCTTGCCTTACTTGAATGGTCGTCATGATGATGCTCGCTGGCTCTGGGTCGCTTTGGGGCCCTAGAGCTTTCTGCTTTGTTGTTTAGGTGGTTTCTTAGGTCCTTCGTTTCTGCCTCCTGGGCGGGAAGCCCACGAGAAAGGAATGAATCCCTCGACCCTTCGCCGGAGGCGGCAAACTCGTTGAGCCGGCTTAGGACGTTTACATTGTCCTTTTCCAGCTGTCGTAATCTATCGCCAAACTTTTCTTCAATCACCTCCGCCAGCTGACGAGCCAAGGGGGCTAATCCCCCTGACCTGATTCCCATACTGGTTTGAGGGGTAACCCCTCTTGACCGAGTAGAGGCACTTTTATTCATATCGGTGTGATCCCTCCCTCTGTGATGACAGGGAGCTTGTAATTCGAGATTCCTTTGGTGGGGGCCTTTCCCTTTCTGTCGAGTGTTCACCATGGTCACTGTTCTTTTTAGAGAAAAAACTAGGAAAACTAGTCGTTTCCCACAGACGGCGCCAGATTGTGCGTGCACGATCCTGCACAATATAAAAATGAGAACAGATCTCTCCCTTGGTGAACTTGAGTGAGTCAGTTGAGTGACCAACCATGCTGCTTGGAACAGCCTGCGAGATCCGGTGGTAACCTGGAACGGCAACGGGAGACCCTGGGAGAGCGAAAGAACGATCCAATAAGGCTGAAGAAAGGTTCCTGGAATAAAGAAGAACAAGTTAGAAGGGCGCCGGAGTGTTTTCCGGCGTATCCCCTTCGACGATCTAGTCAGTCTTTGAGAGAGAGAGAGAAAGAAGAAAACACTGAGTGTGTATTGTAGTAAAGAGTTTTTTGTTGCATACCGTCTTGCCTTTTGTAAGGAGTATTTATACCTCAAAAGCTCATGATTGCTGTCAGTGTAGTCAGTAGGTGATCATTAGGTACAGGCAGTGTGCGCACTGATTCTGATGAGGAATGTCTTCTCTTCTTAACTGCTCGGGGTCCCGAGCAATCAATGCTGCGTCATCGGGATGCCGACGGTACAATGAACTCCTCTCGGGGAGGATGCAATAAATGTTCTGTATTAGGAACATTTATTGCCTTTCATTTCCGAGCCTTACCGCATTGAATGCAGTCTCGTCAAGGGAATAGTGTAATTAATCGTTTGTTTTCCCAAGTCGCGTGTCAGCAACGGCATGCGGTTTTTCTGTCTTTGATGTGACATCATATGCCACGCGTCCATCCCCCATTGGCTATGGCCCCTGCATTCCTGTACGTTCTGACACTAATTGTGTAAGACGAGGTCATGATGAATAGCCTAGACTAGCCTAGGCTAATGACCTGTACGTCAATAGCTTATCCTGGAGCAGAGGAGGCGTCCAGGACGGGGTACCTCTCGGCACCGAGAAAAGGCTCATCTTGGAACCGAGGGAGGTATATCGACCGAGGTACCATATCAGACCGAGGCTACGTGTCGGTTGTAAAACGTACTGAATGTCATGATCCCATATGACGAGTACCTCGGGTGCGAGGGACCTTTGTGAGCCGATGGTGCTTGATCTTAGCAACAGTGTTTTGGTAATACCGATGACACGTGTCTTCATCATGGAGTATTTCAGAAAAGTCTCATCACCTATATAGTTAAAATAAAATTGAATGAATTTAATTTTTAATTAGTAAATATAAATAAGATGGGTTTAGTAACAAATGAGGTGAACTTAATAATTTAAAGTAAGAGAATTAAATAGGGTGGGAAAAGAGATTTAAAATGTGGAATAACCCCACCCATTTTCGTTTTTCTTATTGGGAAGTAAACTAAACCTACGAGACCGAATCTAGGCGTAATTCATGGGAATATTCACCTGTGGATGACCAAATAACCAGGAGGTGAAAGATTTTGTACCAAATTTAAATATGAATAATATTATCTTAAGAGTATTTTTAAAATAATTACAATGATGATAGAAATTTTGAATCATTGTTGAAATTATAACTATAAAGTTTGAGTTTCGCGTGTATTGACACAATTTCAGAAGCATTTAGCTTTGAGAAAAGGTAACTAGGTAAGTTTTTAAAATTTTTTAAATAAAAATAATGTTATCATTGAATCTGGGAGATCGTGAAACCTTGGGTTAGACGTTCGACTCGTATAATGGTCTCAAGGAATAAGATAGTAATTTTTGGGTTTTGGGTACTTTACTCTATGGACCGTTGGAGATCAAAAAAAAAAATTGTTGATTGAGATATTGATAATTTGAGATGAATTTCAAGTTTTCCAAGATCACTTAGGATAGTTTTGGACTTTGGAAATAGAAAAAAAGGAATTTGGAGGTTTTCTGAACCTTAAACACAATTTGGAGAGAATTTAGGTAACAAGAAATTTGACACTATTTTAATATTTCGACCATAAAATTTTACCTTAATATCCGATTGAACTTATTTTTGCAGAATTAGAAAAAAAAATTCAAGATCTACGAGAGTATATTTCATAAAAATTTTATAAATCAACCTCCAACAAAAAAATTCAAGATCTACAAGAGTATTTTTCATAAAAATTTTATAAATCAACTTCCAACAAGGTCAAAATAAGATTTTCAAATTGGGGGCAGAAACCCGTATATGGATGGAAAAAGAACGCGTCCAACGTGCATGCAAAGTTGGCCTCGATCAATTTTGTGCCGTTAACTTAACTTTGACATTATTTAAAGGGCGTGTTTGCTTTAAATATTAGGAAAGAGGGAGCAGAAAAAAATAATGCTGGGCCAACTTTATCCATTTTATATTCATGTTTGGATACACATTTTGGGTCTAATATTATCATCTAGAAATAATATCGGTCTGGATGAATAGTATATTTAATATCATTTATAATCTATTAAATAAACCCACCTTTTTGGTGGGTTTAAATAATATGGCTGGGATATATTTGGACACAAAATATTTTTATCCTCAAGAATCTCTAGGATATAAATATCTCTATTTATCTTGGGGGCTCTTTAATAATTTAATGTTTATACAATCTATATAATAAAGTTTATATAAAAAATAACTTTTACTTTTTATAGTTGAGATTGTTTTAAATTTTATTTTAAAGTTAATCCCATAGGCAATACTAATTCCCCAAATTTAATAGGGGTGATTTTTAAAAGTACTTCTAAGACTTATAATTTCTCAAAAATATTTTCAAAATAAAAAAAAATAGTGTTTGAAACAATTTATTTTAATTACTTCTAAATAAGTCAAAAATAGTTATACTACTTAAATAAGTAAGTAAAAGTTAAAAAAAAAAAAATCTACTTCTTTAAAATCACTTCTCTATAAAAACACTTCACTACCGCCACCATCCCCACCGTCACTGCCCTATCACCACCACCGTCCCACCACCACTATCACCGCTCACCTCTTACAACTAGTGCTTAAATTCATTTTCTCTCTCTTTCATGTCTGTAATTTGATTTTGAGTAGGAATGTAAATATACTTATGATTGATAATTTTTTTATTACTCCATATCTTCAGGCACGGGCAATAAATTAGTCATTCAATACTTTATTCAAACAAAATATTAGATAGAATAAATGTGGGATCTACTACTATTTAATACTTGAACAAAATATGAGATGAGAAGGCATTACCATTATAATTAGTTCAACGGTGGAATGGATGAGAATGAAATGAACAAATTTGTCGAATCCAATCATCCTTAATGTTTAAACCAAACATTGGTAGAGGATTAGTTACCCCGGATAAATGATCTTTTACAAGTGTGGAAGCAGAAGCCCCCCTCCCCTCCCACAGCACCTTCTAATGCTTTTGGTTTTAGTCATTAATAATTAAAAAAGCGGGGCGCCCGCCCTCATACACTTCTTCCTCCGTGATAGTCGCTCCTTTGTCTGAATTACAGCAAAAAGATTGGGCCGCCCGGACCTCCCTATTCCTTTTATGATATGGCAACGCTTTGTCCAGAAAACAGAAGTATCATGGGGGGACCTACCTATGCCAGTGTTTTAGATTCCCTCTAATCATGAATAGAGAAGAGCACTTCCTCTAAAACACATCAAAAGTGTGTTGGTTGGCTCCTACCGCTTCCAAAACAAAGTTGGTTCACAAATATTTGATAACTGTACAAATACCAGCTTTCCAAAGTTTTTCCAATATTCTAGTCTTTTTTTTTTTGAGATTTTAATTTTAATTTTAATTTTGTGGCCTGAATTTTTAATTTTTAAATATTTTTCCAACCCAAAAAAAAAAAAAAGAGTCTAAGAGACAATTCAGTGATTCTAGAACTACCCCGACATGGGGTTGAAATAAACAATTTTTTTTTTTTGGTTGTTGTTCCCTACGCCGTACCCAAAACACACGTAAACGTTAAAGTAAACACACGTAAATATTAAGGTAAAGAAAGAAATAATACTTGACCTTTGAAAAGCTTCCAAGAAAACGAAATTCAAAGTAAAACACTACATTTCATTCGAGACTCCTGTTGGTCCTCTCTCTCTCTCTCCTCATTTTTCTCCCTCTTGAACAGTTTGAACTTTGAAGGAAAAAGTGTGTGTGTGTGTGTGTGTGAGAGAGAGAGAGAGTAGTATGAGGTGATGGAGGGAGCAGAGGAAGAGTTGGAGAGAAGAAGCAAGTTTTTGAACAGTCTGATACAGAAGAAGAAAGGTATAGAGCAACAGGAACAGCAAGATCATCTTAATGTTCGTGTTAGAGCCTCTGATATGCCTAAAGCTTTGCAGAACAGAGCCTTTAGGTGTGCCAGGGAAAACATCGACTCCATGCCTGGGAAGCTTGACAGCAAACGAGTAGCTCTTGCCCTCAAGAAGGTAGTAGTAACCACTTAGTGTACAAAATTTATCTTTCTTAGTTATGATCTTTTGCTTATCTTTGAAATAAAACATTGATGGGTATGTTTGACTTGTTGATTATGAATATTTAGAGTGAAGGGTATTGAGAAAACTTGTCTAAAGGTGGTTAGATTGCATTGGTAATATTTTTCTCCTGTCTTTTTCTTATAGATTGAATTCGGATGTTAAACTCTTAATTGCATTGTTTAAAATGAAGCTTATTGTCTAAAACTTGAAGTTCTTATCCTTATTTTTCATGAAATTGATTGGTAGTGCCTAAATTTAGGGTGCAAAACAATGCCGTTTGATCAACCGCATCTCTGCAGTTAAAAACTAACTACCAATTGGACCCCTAAATTTATTGGTGGTCTTCATTTAGATTCTTAATTTCCCTTCTTTAAAGTGAAGGCTATTGTATGAGCTCAAGTCATTTTGTTCTTCTCTTTTTTTTTCTCTATTTTTCTTGGTTTTGTCTCTTTTGTACAACCTAGGAATAAATGGATTTTCTTTTGATTTTTTTTTTTCCCAATGCTGAATGTTTAGGGACATGAAGTTGATTTTTATCCAGGTGGTCCAATTGGTTTTTGGTGTCAGACTGAATTGAAATACTATTTTAGTCTAGGGTAATTACTTTTTAATGATTGTTTATTATGGGTATTTAGGCAAAGCAGGTTAATTTGTGCCGACTATTGAGGTGGTCCAATTGAGTTTTCTGTTTAAGGTATTGTAATCAATCATAAATTATTAATTTCACTGTTGAAAAGGTTAAGTAAATTTTTATGCATATGCGCCAATGTACTTTGTAAATTGAGCTTAAAATTTTGCTGCTTCTCTTTCCTTCTTTTCTTGATCGTGGTCCTTACTATGAACTGGAATGCTTTTGTTCAAGATCTTCAAAATTTGAATGTTTAAAACGGGATTTGAGTACCTTTGCGTGCCAGCAAGTTTGTTGATCTCAACATGTTTGGTTTAAAACATTCAGCGGGTACTTTTGTTTTTTGAAATATGGAATTCAATGGTGTAGTCAGCATTTTCCACTAAATGTTTAAATAAAGTGATTGTGCGAAATTCCATATAGATGACCCATTCGATTGTCTGTGTTAGGTTAACTGAAAATATAGCCTTTAAGTTGGCGACCTTTAATATGTAGTTGCAGTTTAAAATTGTGCAGGATTGTTAATTCAAATTACATAATTGAGTTCCCAAAGTAGATTTGTTTTTCAGTGTCCCCATTGTTAAGTTTCAGTAGTTCAAGCTGAAAGTGTTTATTTTTCTTAATCATTTTCCTTGTAGTTGTAGGTTCATTGTGGGGAGTTGTGTAAAATTTTTGAGCTAACAACTGTGAGGTTTTGATTCCGACTTTGAAGGTAGTCGCTCAGTGTGAATAATGCAAACAGCTAGGGTAAACCTAATGACCCTGGTAGGTTTTGACTTCTCACAGTTTAGGGTATTGACTTGAATTGTCTAAAGATGCTCCAACGTTTTAGTAGTGTCACATTGAGATAAAAGAGTGTGTGTGGGGAGGGGGAGGGGGGGGGGACCTTTCATTTGGTTTCAAAGATTGAACGGGGTTATTCAGATTTTTATAGTTGAATTTTTGGAACAAGAGTATTCAACATATTGGCAATGATGTAAGGCAATGTTTGGTAGTGTCAATTTAAGCTGGGAATATTGTTCCGATGTTTCTCTGTTGTAAATTCTCCTTTGGGTGAGGTGGAATGCTTTTTCTGAGCTTTTGTTTTAGCAAGATATTGGGTTTTCTTTCAATAACTAATTTCATTGCGAGGGTCAAAGTCAGCCCGCATTGTTGTTGTTTAGTGTGATACTTTTTAGGTGTTTTGATAATTGTATAGATATACAAGTGAACTGTAATATACATGCATTCTGGAGGCCAATTACTTCATTCTTGTGCAATGAGATTGTCTAGTGAGCAATATGGACAGTGAACAGAAAATTTCATGGGTTTGAGGAACATTTTCACCCTGTAATAGTTTACTTGTTAAATGTGTCATTTGATATAGCAAATTAACTTAACAGAAATTATTTCTGCAACGCTCAAACTCATGTCTAAGAAAACATCTAATCAGATATAGTGTTTTCCTAAATAGCTGCAATCTGACTTTGTTGACTTGGATGATTTAATATTACCCTCCTTTACAATATGTTATTGAGTTATCCATGGTCACTTCTGATCTGTTCTTCACTGACTCTTTTTTATCTTCCACAAATGATCATGGAGTTCTGAACTTTTTGTTTCCTGTAATCATTGAACGTGTGACAGTTTAAATTTTAATCTGACATGAGAATATTGTTCTCATTTCCTCTATAGAATGATTCTAGTCTTTCTTAGGTCCATAGGCCTAGCAATTGTAACGAAGTCTATGAACTTAACATTATACTGTTGCTCCAAAGTTAACAATTTGTTTAGCACTTCTTTTTGTTTTGTTTACTGCAAAACTTTTTTCTGATTGGATTATCTTCTTTGGAGTTGAGAGTAGCCACTTTGTGCAAATGGAGCTGGAGATTAGGTCCGTGCCCAATTTTTCCCTCTCCAATTCCAGAATTGACCAGTCACCGGACTTACAGAACAAATAGCCACTTTTGATTAGGACATGTTGGTTTTTCCATGTTGAGCCATCAAATTCTTTCAAATTTTGTAAGAGAAATGTTCTTTCAGTGGTGGTCAAATGTCATCAAGGTGAAACTCTGCTTGATGTATCCGCTCCTCCATCTTCCTTGTTCACTCTCCATTATCATGCTTATCTCTCTCATGTATGCCAGTTTCCTATTGAGTTTTTATGTTGAAGTTGTGATCGCTACCCTTCTGTCTCTTCTAACCCTCTGCTGTTTGAAATCTGCAACCCTTCATCCACAAATATTCAAATGTCCCCTAGCCACACAGTGCTATTCATCCCTCTTTTTTCACCATCTTACCAAAACTTAACCGGTTTATATCTGTTTCGTTGTTGTCTTTTGCTGAATAAATTGGCAAGTGTGGGATTATGTTTCGAAGTGTATATTGGCTGCCCCTGCTTCATTAAAACTATATGCGGATAACGAGTTTGAGCTTGGCTCTTGCTCATCTGGTCAGTGATTTTTAGTATTTGCTCAGGCTTGGCTAGCAAATCACCTAGACATTGTGTTCATAATTCCTAAGTTTAATAGAGTGCGCTCATTGAGAGTCAGAAAGCATGTTACATTGCTTTGCTGAGTCAGAAAGCATGCTAATTTTTTGATTTGTTATACTGAATGAGGACTTTAACTTTTCACTCTAGCAGCCTATATTTCATGCCGGTACTAATATGAACATTCATCAGGAGTGCTAGACACTGGCCATTACTGTCATTCCTATCTGTTCTGGAAAAGTTTCCTTTCGGATTCTTTAGGTTTATAGTGTGAAACCTGTTGTTTGTATCGTTTCTGAAGTTTCATGATTCTCTTGGCTTCACAGGAATTTGATTCATCGTATGGTCCAGCTTGGCATTGCATCGTGGGGACAAGCTTTGGCTCATACGTCACACATTCATTAGGAGGATTTCTGTATTTTTCGATCGATAAGGTCTACATTCTTCTCTTCAGGACTGCTGTTAAGCCTCTGGATCATTGACTCCACAAAGTTGATTCCTACACACTATGGTTCCTAAAATCATAAATGTTTGGAGTGTTGATTTGCATGTAAAATTAGAGGCCCCATGCGTGGCATAAAAAAAGAAAAAAAGAAGAAAATTTTGTTGTGAGTTTGTCTGCTTTGGTTATTTATGTTGTATTTGATGAATATCAATCTATATCATTTTCAGATAACACACTCTCAGAGTATAAAACAGAGCTGGTTGTCTTTCCATGGGTTGCAATCCATTAAAATTACTTGAGAGAAAGAAACCTTTAAAGTGGGAAGATATGGCATAAAAATATTTTATGATTTAGATTTATCAGAGAATAAAATAGTATGAACTTATTCACTTTTACGAGTTATAATTTGACCTTTAATGATAGTAACTCAATCTTTAAAAATTGATCACAACATTTTGGCCCTTTGAAGTTATAACTTAAACTACAAAGTTATAACTTGGTGTTAAAACATCGTAACTTTCGGTACACCATGGTCTTACTCCAGAAAAATAAAACTCAACAATCACATAAAGAAGCCTTTCATTGAATCGAACCAGATTAATATACAACTAATATTGCCCACAAAAACCTTCTTATGCTAAAAATCAAGTACAAAATAGGAGTACCCAAATACAGCCTTCAGGCAATCTACAAAGAAAGTAGGAAGAAAGAATAACGTCATCATAAATTGCAACATGAAAAGAAAAAAAATGGTTTTTTGGCAAAAAAAAAAAATAAAGAAAAGAAAGGAGGAGGGGGGTTTTGCTGTATGTGGGTGACACATTTTGAGACACCTCCGAATCATTTATGGGGATAGATACTCACCCCCCAAGGTGCATGATGCAGCAATGGCACTGAAGACAGGGGGAGCTTACACAGAAGGAACTGCAGAGTCAGTCAGAAGGGGTTCACTGATTTCAAGTAGCTCGTTACAGAGACCGGTGAAAACAATGGAGTCTGTTTCGATATGTCTGAACTTGATAAGTGCTGTAGGAACCAAATCCTCCTCTTCAAGAGTTGTGACTTTATCTCCTGCTGCAGGAAAATGTGGGATCACCCGCCGTTTGATAACAACAGGATGTACCAGCTCAAACTCCAAGCTGGGTTCTTTCAGTGCTGAGCTCACAAACTATGGACAGACATAAACGACACACAAAAAATAAAATAAACAGATGCAACATGAAAACATTTATGCACTATAAGAAAACTAAAATATAATAGCTTCCAACTCACTCCTTTTTGCTTTATTTTGTTAATTTTTTCCCTTGTTTTGGGTTTTGGACGGAAGTGAATGGGTTTTCAACAGATGTCCTTTATACACCCTAGCAAATGTAAGTTAGTGATTTGTAACCACATATGCAAAAATCAAAAAATGAATGGGTTACAATATGATAAATTTTATTTCTTTATCTTCATTTCTGATTTGAGTTCCCAAAATTTGAAATTGGTGTCTTATTTATTCCCTCCTTCACAAAACAAGAGATGTTTGCTGTTCAATATCATCTCTTACCAAATGCTTCTAAGAGAGTATTGACGTTGGTCCACATAACATTATTTGGCAATAGGTGGAGTGCCCCTCAAGTATATAAAACGATATTGGTGGTCCTAATTATTCGATGTGTAATACAAGTTCTCTTAACACCCTTCCTCATGTGGGACTTAGGCTAGAGTGTGGAGTCAACAAACAAACAACTGAGCCTACAGAAAAATTCAAATGGATAAGACACTTGACCCACTAACCACCCAAGTTACAACTCTGATACCATGTTAAAGCATCTAACCCAAAACCAATTGCAATGGATGGACTGACCCCTCAAGTATATAAACCAACATTGCTAGTCCTAATTATTCGATGTGGGATATAAGCTTTCTTAACGGTCCCCACCACGAACACAATTATACTCAAGAGCTTGAAAATGTTTTTGACCACAAGGGCAAGATCTCAGATCCTGCTAAAACCATATACTATATGGGCATGTATGGTCAAGGGATAAAAGAGGTGGATTGGACTAAATTTACTCCACCCCATACTTATCCGCATTTGGCACAAAAAGTTGGGTCTAGACAATTTCACAAATTTTACCCCCCACAGTAATTAGTGGCATTTAGGGGGAATGATTAGATACCGAGGGGTTGTGTATAACATTTAGGAGTCTTAGGATAAAGAAGAAAAAGGATGAGAACAACTAGTCACACTCCAAAACCTCATCCTCCACCACAATCACCTCCGTTGCCACTACCACTATCGCCACCCAAAACATAACCACCACCGCCATTGTCACCATAGCCACAACAAGAAAGAGATATTTTGTATATATGTATCTATAGAGGTATCTTCATCAAATATCCGCCAATCCCATGCCCTAATCTTGTGCCAAACCAAACACGGGATTTTGATTTGTTGTGAACTAAGTTATCTTGTATCCCCCCCTTTATTCCCATATTGAGGATTGGCATGAACTAGATAGGTTAATCCCGCCCGTTTCAGCTTCAATCCCCGACCAAAACATGCTCATAAGCATGCATATAAGAAAGTTTGAGACCAATTTAGAGAGGTTGTGAGTGAATATTATCTAAATCATATAAAAATGAAAATAAAAAACTAAAAGTATATCAGAACTATCAACAAGAGATATTTCTAGTCAGATCATCAACCAGGACTTTGATATTTCTGCAATTTGTGTGGTTGAACCACCAAGAAAGCACAGACAATATAATTAAAATATAATGGAAGCAACTAAAATAACTAACCTCGTAAAGAGCACTAGTTGGCTCCCAAGGAGAAAAGACACCTTGAAGCACCAATCCATCAGGAAACTGTACCCGGATAAGAGTTTTTCTGTACCTCTTCCTCGCAGCTTTGTTCTGCTTTTCTTTGTATGACTTAGGAATCAAAAGCTGGGATTCTGCCATCTTTTTCTTCCTCATATCTGCTTCTCTTCTCAATTCTTCAAGTGAGAGATTATAGAATGAATCTGGCAGGTCGATTTTCGCCGCTACACGTTCAGGGACAGCAAAGAACACCCGGATCTAGTATGTCCAGAACATGAGAATATCAGAAACTGATGGTTATAACCAATGGATCAATAATGGTTAAGACATACCAGTTGCCAGACGAACACAGTATACATTAAGACAAACAAAGAATAAATTCAGTAAAGAATAGTTGCTCAGCTCCCAACTCAACAATAATTATGAAATTGATAAAGAACCACTATCGAATTGTACAAAAGACAAATATAATGATTTTTTTTTCCAATCACGAAAACAGAGATAAAATAAGACCAAAATTTAAGTAAATATAATACTGAGTTTTTTCATTATCAAAAGACATTAGTACATCAAAATTGACAATTACAGCCAAAACATTGGGACAGCAAAAAAATGAGAGTTATATAACTTTTAAACACTAAAGTAATTATACATTGCTGTTAGTATGGTGAGATTTACCATACTAGTCTTCTTTTCTTTCATTAAATGCCCCGTGTTGGAAGAGACTACACACTATTGAGCATTCTAACAATGAAAGATAGCTTGATCCAGAGTGGTAGGGAGGTACTCCATAATGAAAAGAAAAAAAAAGGCTGATTTACCAGTTGTTTGTCTGCTTTTGAAAATTTTATCAAGTACTTACCACGTGGCAAAGTTTGTCCCACATTGGTGACAGACATTCAATTAGTTGGTTTGGTCATTAGCACAAGCCAATAGCCTCTCAACCCAAATCCAACTTGACCATAAACAAGTGTGTATGTCTTTAGTATACAGGCACTAATTAGAATCCACTAATTATTGACCAAGAAACAAATTTCTAGAGTAGATATTGTATAATATGATAATTTTTCAAAACCATATTTTATTAGTTAAGAGAATAGCATAAATCATATTGTTAATGGATGGAGAGACCTCTCAACCATATAACCCAACCTTGGGTGTTCCAACTCTTTCTATGTGATATAAGCTCTCATCACACCCTTATGTGGGATCCAAACTCACACAGGCCAACAAAATGAAATAAAGAGACAAACAAAAAAAACCAGAAAATGCAAATGGGTGCGAAACTTGGCCCATTGAAAACTAAGGCCCAACTTTGATACCACTATTGAGGCATTCAACCGAAAACCAATTGGCATTGGATCAAGAGGCCTTCGTCATAATTTTTGCAGGTGGGAAACAAGCTCTTTTCACAAACCAAAACAAATTTGATCTAATACCTATATCTCATCGCTGCAAGCACTTAAGTTCAATTAATTTGAATAGTTTCTCCCAAACAATAGAATCATCACATGCACTTTGATGAGATATCTTCGTCAGTCGGAGACATGTTACATAGAGCACAGATCAACATGAGACAGAAACATATAAAGTTAGCTGGCAGCCACTTTTAGAAAACGGTAGAGTGGAATTAGCCAAATATAGATTAACTTCAAGCAAATAGCTTGTTTCAAATGCAAAGCCAGTAAGCTATACGTCAACTGGTAAAAGCTGGGAACTAAGCAAAATAAACCCCCCTGAGACCCCTTGTGACCTTGTTTAGTCAAGTTTTAGTTTTAGTAGAGTCTTCATAGTATTTTTGACCATTGAATCAATCATAGCGAGTTTAATATCCTTCATAAGAAGATTGTTTTTGTCCCTAGCAGGCTTCCTAAATAAGTTAAGAAACCACTGTTCTTTCTCCTCAAAATATTACTGAATTTCAATGCTTTATGAAGAAGACGGGACTAATTGTCTTGTGTAAGTAAACAAATCTGTGACAGTGGACCCCCACGGCCCCAACACTCAAAAGTGTTTTTTCTTAGTTTTGTCCAAAATCCTTTCTGATCCAATTACATCTAAATAACCCTGGATTCTATCAGAAAAAAAACATATGGCAATGTTTGCAAAGTAGTAAAGGTAGCAATAAACACAAGGCATAATACTTCAATAATATGACAATTGACAAATATAGAGACAAGTGAAGAATAAGTGAAACAAAGCCAGAAAATATTATACAGCTATTGCAGCAGATAAGATTATAGCCAAAATGATTTACCTGTCTATCGACTTTCTTCAGCTCAACCGGTTCATCTATCTTAATTGGAGCTGTCGTTGGCAGATCTTCAACCTTTTGTGGTTCTAAAAACAATATTGCATTCTTAATCAAACCAATTCGCTCCCCAGAAGGGACATCCATAACTGCCCACATCTCCCCACCTTCCTCTTTCAGTTCAAACCCAACACACTCCAACAATTCCACCCCTCCTGGAACATCACCCAAAGCCTCCCTTATCTTCGGATTTCCCATCCGAATCTTCCTAAACTTGGCGTTCTCTGGTTCCCTAACTACATTCCCCAAGAGCTTAAGCACAACTTCAACAGATCCCATGGATGGATACCCAGAAAGATATGTACCAACACAAGCCTCCAATTTACTTTTCACCTCCACCAAACTTTCACCACCATCAAAATCCTTCGAAGCAATCAAATTATTCGCCTCCGAGCTACTAAAACAACCTTCAACATGTTCTGACACTTCTTGTTCTGACCCAAATCCGCCACCACAAACTGGACATTCAAACACTTTTAAAGAATACCCATTTGAATTTCTCTTCCCAGAAGTGATCAATGAGTCAAATGGATCAAACCCACTTACTGGTTTACATTTTGGGTCCGAAAAACTCTGATTTTCAGGCCTATTTTGGGGTTTTTTATCAGACTGACTTGGTTCTTCACGCAAGGATTTGGAATTTGATGAAGTTGGTAAGGGTTTACTTGGGCTTGAATTGAGATTCTGGGATGGGCGGTTAATGATTGGATTTGTGGTTCCCAATGAAGATGAACCCAATACTCTACCTGGACCTTTGAATTTACCCGAAGAAGAAGAAGAAGAAGATGATGATGAGAATGGGTTGTTGACTTTTTTCATGAACCCTTTGACTTTATCCTTCATATCATCCATATTTGCACCAACCAATCAATCTAAAAACAGCTGATACTACCAAATTTATCAAGAAAGGAATAAAATTAAAGCAATGAATTTAAGTTTGAACAGCAAAACTCAGAGGGAAAATCTATGAGAATTTGTAGATGTATAAGCAATAGAACGAGAATTTCTGAGATAAATGTTGGGTCTTTTTTGAGTAGGAAAATTGTGGAATTCTCTATCAAGAAAAGCAGAATGCAAGGGACTGAGAAATCAAGGGGAAAGCTAGGATTTGGAGGTACGACCTCGGAGTTTCAGAAGAGAATCGTCAGCACTTGTGAAGACTTGTGTTGTTGTCGGTTTTGAAGAAGCTCAAGCCTTCTGCAATTGGGGCGTGTGGAATTATGCCTGTGGATGTTAAATTTTGAGTAAATTACACTTTTCCCTCTTCACTATTATTCCGATATTACCTTGCCCATTCCATGATTAAATTTCTACATTATTCCAATAAACATTTGACTTCCTTTCACACCCGCACCAAAATTAAATATTAGATATGAAAACATGATAGTTGAGGATAGGGGTGTTCATGGGTCGGGTCGGATAACGAGTCCTGTTACTTAGCCTCAAAAAATATGTTTGAAGTTCGATAGACCCGATGGTTAGTCGGTTTGTATTCGAGCTCAATATCTTTCAAGAGAGGACTTGGACTTGCCCTCAAACTTATTACCCTGCCCGAAAATCTGGCCTATGAACCTACCCACAAAACTTGTTAAAACTCGGCCCAAGAACCCGCTAGCCCAGCCCAACCTTCTCGCCCTTCCACCCACTTGTTTGAAAAAAAAGTTGATCAATGAAAAATTGGTGGCAATATATGACTCTATTTTATTTAAATAAAATTATTTATTATTTATTTTTTTTATTTTGACTTTACTTTTAATTCAAAAATATAATTTATAAAATATTAAATTAAAAAATTTTTAAATGAAATGTTATATATTTATATATATAAAGACTCGTCTAGCAAGTTTGTCTGTAAGACTCATCTAATGAGTGGTAGATTGGGCTGTGAGTAACCTACCTTTATCCGAAATCCTACCCTGCCCACCAGATAACTTACTCGAATAAAGGTTTGGATCTACCCTATGTAGTCTCAAACCAAAAAAAAATCTGGTATAATTTATTGACATAATGATGTGATTTCATATGAATCATTGAATTAACACTGAGTTTCAATGATTGATGGGGCTTACAGTCAATGCAAAGGTCACAGTAAATTAGATCAACAAATTATGTCAATAAATTAAGTTCCAATAGCATTACTCGTGAACCTAATATCCATAGTTAGAGGTCAAATTTGAGAATGTGATAGTTAAAAGTATAATGTGAGATAAAGGCATGGTTAAGGAGCAAAAGTGTAATTTACCCATAAATTTTTTCAGACCAACACATTGTAAGCCGTGTACAGGACTGCAAGTTGTAGATATCCAATGATATACAACCACGTCAGCAAAGTTGAATAAAAGGACCACGTCAATGAAAGATGGAAGAAAGCTTCAAATTATGATATGACGATGAAATTTAGGAGTAAATATTGTGCGTAAAAGTGTCATCGTGTCATTCATATCACGTATTATTAATTAATTATTCTATCCCTTCTTAAATATTTATTATTTTATATAATTATTTTTATTTCATAATATATGTTGTTTAATAATGAAATAAAAACATAATTAATATTTTTTTTTCTAATTTTACTCTTAACTTTTCAATACATTAGATTTTATAGAGGCTAAGTGTCTTTCATATTCATTTTCTTCCCAATACGTATTGAATAAGGATATTTTGGTCTTGTATTCAATACGTATTGGAAAGGAAAGAAATATGCAAAACACTTAGCCTCCACCAAATTTAATGAATTGAAAAATTAAGGATAAAATTAGAAAAAAAAATATTAATTATGATTTGATTTCATTAAACGATAAATACTATGAAACAAAAAAAATTGTGTAAAACGACAGATATTTAAGAACGGAGAAAATAATAAATAATATTAATGAACTCTATTACATAAGATAGTTATAAGTAGTTAATAAAATAATGAAACAAAGGACACCACGTAACATTGATAATGAAACATAACCATTACTTCAATATTTTCCCCCTTGTTTTATATCTAAAAACCTTTCAATTACCAGAGTCGGAAAAGAAGTTCTAATCAAAGCAATCGTTCAGTCAAACCCGACTTATGGGATGGATTATCTTAAACTTTTTAGAATATCTTTGCAAAGACTTAGAGTCTTTAATAGATAATTTTTGGTGGGGATAGGAGGATGGCCCGAAAGAAATTTATTGGGTGAAATGGGCTAACATGTGTAAAAGCAAGAATATAAAAGCTATGAAATTTTGGGATTTGAGAACTTTTAATATGGCGATAAGGGGCGGAGTCAGAAACTATGTCTAAGGTGGGTACTTTATTAAAAAATTTTAATTTTTTTTCTTCTAATCAATAAAAATAAAATAATATATTCAAATTTATTGTATTGTATTCGATTCTTAAAAATTCATAAAATATGAAAAGGGTAAAATTTTGATAAATATAAGATACATAAATAAAAACAAACAAAAAAGAGAAATTAATTATATCTGATGGGTCAAGCCCAAAATGACTCAATCTATGTGCAAAGTCCAAATTCCAATTGACAACCTCATTTAAATATCCACTAAGCCCAACATAGCCCAAGACCAGTCAGATTATTTGCTTAGCCACGTCATCAAGGAGGAGAGCATGAGAAGCCTTACCTGCACTGCCAAAGGAAATGGTCCACCCTTACCATATCCTTGACTGCGTCTCATGGAGAGCCTCTCAACCACCTCACCCGTTAAGAAGAAGTCGTGAGGCTCCACCGAAATAGTTGCTCAGTTGCTGTAAAATAACATTAACCTGTTAGGGGACCACTATAAATTGCACGCGCCCACCAACACTTGGGGAGACCACACTGATTACTTGGGCATCGCACTTTCCCTGAGCACGACTCTCTCCTTTCCCTCAAAGCTTATACTCTCTGCTCTCCACACCCTTAAATTAATAAAATACCCCGCAACTAGAGCCATGCAAGAGTGGACGTAGGTCGAGTTGACCGAATCACTATAAATCTTGTCTCATCCAATTCTTTCTTTACTTTTACTGCATTTATTATTTACACTTGACAGGTGGTGTGCAAAACCATTTTGTGCATCATCAGTTTGACGCCGTCTGTGGGAAACGACAAAAATTCTCACTTCAAAACATTTCATTTACTGAATCAATGACAATCACTACCAGATTAATGAACCAATCTGAAGACAATCCTCCACGAGAGGAGGAGGTTGATCCTCCACCTACCAACCCTGTCCCGAATGCTCCAACTCCAAATCCACAACAAATATTGGAGATCATGCAACAACTGGTGCCCCAAAACTAGCAGATACTACAACTCATGCTCGCCAGACAAGGAGGAGCACAACTAGGAGCTCCACGCCCTGCACATCAAGCTGCTCCACGCCTCGCACATCAAGCAGCTCCACGCCCTGCACATTAAACAGCTCCACAACTTGTTGCTCCCCATTTGAGCGCCCCCTTTGGAGTTCCCTTGGGTGCCCCTCATAGGGGAGCTCCCCACAAGGGACCTCCACATCCTTTTTCGCCTCCTTTTTCTCATGGTGGAGGCTTTCTTTTCCAAGAGGACAAGGGTGAAAACCAGAGTATGGAGCATGGAAGCCATTTCCAAGATAATTTCAAAGGAGCTCCTAACCACTGGGACGAAAAAAATAAAAGAGGTACAAAATCAACTAGGTGACATTTTCAACACTATGAAGGCACAGAGACCCAAGACAGTGGACTGCCTCGTAAGTCGAACCGACACACCCTTCGTACCTAACGTGGCGAACTACCTACTTCTCAAGAAGTTTAAAATGCCATCTGTTGAAACCTTCGACGGTACGAAGGACCCACTTGATCACCTTGAAACTTTTAAGACCTTGATGCAACTACACAACGTCCCCGACGAAATTATGTGTAGGACATTGCCAACTACCTTGAAGGGATCAACGCGACAATGGTTCGCCAAAATCACTCCAGTCTCCATAGGCTCCTTCTCCGAATTGAGCAGATCCTTTGTAACACAATTCATTGGTGGACACCGCCAACATAAGCCTGTCATTCATCTGCTCAGCATAAAACAAGATTGAGATGAGAGTTTAAGGAGTTTCCTCACTCGTTTTAACGAGGAAGTCCTCCAAATTGAGGAACCCAATGACAAAGTCACCATGACTGCCTTCTTGGGAGGCCTCTGTTCATCCAGATTCCTTTTTTCAGTAATGAAGCAATCACCAAAGAGTATGCAGAACTATTGGCAAAAGCTCAAAGATATATGAATGCTGAGGAAATCAACAGGTTTAGGCAAGGTGAATCATCTCGCAGATCACCAGAAGCTTAACCTGCCTCTGCACTGTTCTCAAACAGACAGCTTATCTCCAGTTTAGCGGCTCTCTCATGGGTCGCCAAAAAAGCTTGGCCCCTGCACTGTTCTCAAACAGGCAGCCTATCTCCAACTTAGCGGCTCTCTCATGGGTTGCCAAAAAAATTTGGCCTCTGCACTGTTCTCAACACAAGCAGCCTATCTTCAGCTTAGTGGCTCTCTCACGGGTTGCCAAAAAAGCTTGGCCCCTACACTGTTCTCAAACAGGCAGTCTATCTCCAGCTTAGCGACTCTTTCACGGGTCGCCAAAAAAGTTTGGCATCTGCACTGTTCTCAAACAGACAGTCTATCTCCAGCTTAGCGGCTCTTTCACGGGTCGCCAAAAAACTTGGTCTCTGCACTGTTCTCAAACAGACAGTCTATCTCCAGTTTAGCTGCTCTCTTGGGGGTCGCCAAAAAAACTTGGTCTCTGCACTGTTCTCAAATAGGCAGCTTATACCTCAAGCTTAAAGACTCCCTCATGGGTCGCCAAAAGCTAGGTCTCAAAAGGTGTAGCTTTCTCACGAGCAGTTCTCCAACTCTGTCTTTGCTCTCGCGCAAACAACCTACCTCTCTCTATCCAGGTAATTATGTGAGATATTTTAATGTTTAGAATAACATTATTTTTGTCATCGCAAGCAAGCTAGCCCAACTCAACCCGACGGCACAGCACTGTTGGAGGAATGCGATAAGTAAAAATAAGTCTCGAGATATCTTCATCTAAACGGAACAGACTGAAAAGGGTACTCACTTTAGATCTATCATCATCAAGTCCCAATTTACTTTTTTGCTTCTTCTTTCGAGGTGGCAAGAAGTGGTCTAGGTCATCCTCTTGAGAGGTTTGGATTTGAGAAGTCACATTTGAAGG